TTAAACTCTACATCAGTCCTTAGCCTGATTTGATAGGCCCATTCTCGGAAACCCTACTCATCATTTATTCGTGTTCAACAACTTGCCTCCTCCCGCCTAACTCCTAAACGTCACTCCTTGAACTGCGTGAGATGCGACGTTTAGGGGTTTGTGACACAGTGCTGTCATTACACTGTGTTATGTCACATCACAGGATTTATGAAAAACCCTTCTCTGACCCAGCCATATTCACGCCCTCAAAATCCTGAAGTTCTCTTTTCTCTCCCCAGCGATCAACTTCCAGAAACCCTCTGCTTCTTCGTCTTCTGCAATTCCTTCTCAAATGGCTAACCAATACGTCCCTGCTTTTCCTTTCGATGGGGCTGACCCATCAGTGCCTTCCGTGGCTTCGAGGGTCCTTACCCCTACCTACGCCCTTACTGCACCACTACCGAAGATGCTGATCGTATAAGATCCGTCATCTCTCAGGTTTCTCCAATAATCGTCAACGATGCTGTGTTCAAAGTGGAACGTCTTCTGGACAGTATCAGAACTCACCTTACTGACCCAAAAGACGCCTACTGTAAATGGCACGCGAGGCTCCTTCCCCACTTTGAAGAACAATGGAAAAAGCAAGGCATTGACAAAGCCATTCTCCTCTCAACTCAGCCTCTTTATCTTCACGACAAAGCCCTACTAGCGATGACACCCTTTTGGCATTCTCAGATGGGTGTATTCCTCCTCCCTACCGGTCCTATCGGGCCGACCCTGATGGACGTGGCCGTTATTGCACATTTGCCAATTGTAGGCGATGATCATGTTCTGGTTTCTTTTGAAGGTCGAGAGCCTTCACCCAACCATGCTGGTTGGCCCTTGGCCAAGCTCCCTGAGAAAGAGAGAGGCTGGACTAATTTTGTTAACAAATATCAGGGTAAGGAAGGGCACCCCTGTTTCTGAAGTGGAACACACAACATTCCTTCATTTTTGGCTCTGCAGGTATACTTTTTCCTTTTGAAATCTCTTTCGTAATTTCGAAGTTGGATGTTTTGGTTGAATTTCTTCTTTCTTTTCTTCACAGATACATCATTCTTTCCCCTTCCAAACTCGTCCTCTCTACCCAAGTCGATCTGGCTATTCAATTGGCTAGCGGCCATTTTTCTTCATTGGGAACCCTATTTTGGCTAACCTCTTTGAGGGTTTAACCCGAGTGAGCACCCATCTAACCGATACCAAGAAGGCGGACACTGCAGCTTCGGGACCATTCTGGTTCCTGGAATTGTGGCTCCGTCTGTACTTCCCTACTGCGTTCTTTGGCCGACTCCCTATGTCCCCAAATCCCTACAGGTCCATGGGTTATGCCTTAGCTAGATTAACTCCTAATTCCTCTTATCTTTATCCGTCCGACCCTATCATCGCCCAAATCCTGACTGAGGACCGTAGCAATTCCCGCTTCTATGTCTACGAAACTCTTATACAATATTCAACTGATCTTTTTTTGCTTCATCCCGACACATCTCATTCCCAAACTCATCCCGATCCTCTTCCTCATCTGACCTATCCTTTCTCATGGGACTCCGCCATGAAACCCCGATCTCTATTTTCCAGTAAGAGGTCGGACAAGAAAAACCGTAGATTATTTTACACTTACAATTTTTGGCCCGACAGTTCGGTTGCTGTCAGGGCATACCGGGACCACTGGCCCGACCTCACCTTATACCTCAAAGCCCAGAAGGGCTGGTGATTCCCGAGCTTATCCCGACCTACATTTCCCAACTCACCGACTATATCACTTCTAACTCATACTTGCCCTTCTGCAGCGACCGAAGCGTTTCCTGCCTGGTGGTCGGCCACCTGGTCTTTAATTGCTCCGCGGACCGACCACTTGGTTGGGAAACTTGCCCCTCCCCCAGTCTTGGCGCTAGGTTCTCCTCGATTGGCCGCTGCCCTGGGAAGAAAAAGGCAGGCGCTTGCCGTAGGTGGATCTGAAGCAAAGAAACAAAAACAGAAGGCCGCCCCTGCCATTGACACGCAGGTCATCGAGGAGTACCTGGCATCTCTGCCAGTGGATACCAACGGGATGCCAAAATACTTGAGGAAACAATTTGGTAAGTCTGTTTCCTTCCGTATTTCATTTTCCTTGCCAACTCTTCTAAACTTAAACAACTTCTATGTCAGAGGGCCCTTCGTTGCCGCCAACCACTGCCCCATCTATTTCTCACCCGACTGAACATCAACCGAACATATCTCAACCGACTGCGGTGCAATCACCTATAAATCTGACTTCTTCCCAGTCAATCGCAGTCCCGACCCCACACCAAACAACTATGGTGTCAGCCACAAACCAACCGACTGCAGTCCCGACCAAAAACTAACCGACCACAGTCCTGGCTATAAACCAACTGACCGCGGTCCCGACCGAAAACCAACCGACCACGGTCTCGGCCATAAACCAACCAACCGCAGTCCTGACCAAAAACCAACCGACTGCTAATAAGCCATTAGCTGCACCAACGACCCCAGCCGAACAACAACCTACACAACCAGTCGTTCTTCCAGAAGACCTCCCGATTGCTGGTCAACCGACCATTACACAACCGACTCCCTTGCAAGTTGAGGTAAGTATTTCCCAATATTCCTAAGAAAAAAAGAATAGTTACTTCAACCAGTAACTTCAATTCTCGATCTGTAGGTACACCGACCGGAGGAATCGACGGGAAGGCAAATTATTCTTTCACCACCACCAGCGTCCAACGTGGTCGCGGCGACGCCCGACCAACTCGTCGCTTTCCCCGACCAGGTTGCGGAACCATCACAGGTAACTCTCAAAATCTTTCCATATTATTCTTTTACAAAACCTCTGACACTTGTATATTATTCCAACTAGGAACCTGTTGCAATTGCGGTGGTGCCGGAACCCGACCAAGTCACAGAATTGCCCGACCCAGTCGTGGCACCACCCGACCAAGCTGCTGCCGCGCTACCCTTACAACCAGCCGTTCAACCAGTCGATGAGGTTCTTTCTATTGCTCCTCAACCAGTCCAACTGATCCCACTGCCTCACGACATAGAGGAAATTTCCTCCTCGAAGTCGGGTGAGGCTTCAGTCAATTTTGCCCCAAGGGGTTCGGTTAGTGTTCCCTCTCATCCATTTTCTAATTTTCTCCCTTTCTTCCTTACTTAACTCTCTTCGCTTAGGGAATGGAACTGGCCGTCACCCACCGTCTTCAACCAGGGGACAAGTCGGTTGCTGGCCCGACAACTCACCATGGTGCCTCCACAACGTTCCAACTCATGGCCCCTTCCGAAACCACGGCTGCCCTGAATCAGGTAAACTTTAACCTTACATCGTAATGAGTTCACCATGTCTCCCTAACTTAATATCTTCCTTTTTCCTTAGGCTGCCCAAGACTTGAATATTTTGGCCCGAGTGAACCTTCCGACTCCCGTCAGATCTATCGTGGAATGCTGCGCTGACTTGGCTTTTGTCGACTTGAATTTAGCTGACCTCACAGATCTAGTTCAGGTCGCAATAACCTTGTTGGTTAAGCCCACATTGGAATCAGAAGCTTCTCCCGTCCTTGATCGGATGATGGCCAGGATCACCGAACTTCAGGCCGAACTGCCCCTGATCCGCCCCCATCATTCGAGGCCACTTCATCTCATCCGACTGCTGACCCAGCCAGTCTTGAGGTAAACTTGAAGAAAGTCGATCAGGACCTTAGTCTTGCCAAGGCCAAGCTGGACGAACTCCGACAAGCGCAGCACATGGTAGCGGCTGAGATCTCCCAAAAAACGGAAGAACTTAGACGCCTCCAAGAACAACTGAAGTCCCTGGGTGACAGCATTCAGGGAGGGAGTCGCCTGGTGGAGGCACATTGCCATACTCAAACGAGTCTCTGCGAGCAACTCCAAACAGCTATACAAATGAGACTCATTCAGAGACACCAGGAAGCCTATCAGCATCGGCGGGCCACAAAGTCGGAGCTAAAATGGACCGACCTCCAAACTTCTTTAAAAGCCCTACTTTCTATGTAACCCCAATGTGATTTGTATAGAGTTCCAGACTTAATTTATATATTTCCTATTTTCAGAATACAGATCCTATGTTACTTGCGCTTTTACTAAGTTAGACATCAAAACAAAGATCTATATTTTTGCACATTTAATAAACCACGAATTAGACACCACCACACCTATATAAATTCCATACCTCTCACTGCAAACATCATCATCATCCCTCACATTATTACTCAAAATGGTTTATCCTCGCATTCGTGTCCCTTCGTCCAACTGACAAGGTTCTTTGCAACAATTCCTTGTAGGAAAACACCCTGTAGGCCATCATGCTGAAGACTTGATACATGTACTAAAATAATTGGACTTCAAATTTAGGTTCTCCGGCAGAGGCATGAGAACCATACATTGTACGATCCGACTGATGGAGCGTATATCCACCGGCTATGAACCCTTCACCGACATAATCACTCGTATATCTGATCTTGATCATCATCTGGACATGATAGACCATCATGTCTCTGCAATCCTTCTAGACATCAGCTGGAACAACATTTTCCACCAACAAAGATCAACACTCTCCAGACTGCGCGTCCTTGTTGAACAAGAGAATCAATCTCTGCAAGATATGAAGGTCCGCACCGAACAAGATCTTCAAGAAATGCAGGATCAGTGGGATCGCTACCGCCTAGACTTGGAAGACCTCTTGGGCGAAGAACCTGAGATGGTTTCTGCGAGTTGGGATGAAACCTCTGACCCAGAAGACCTCTACCCTTCTGATGATTAGAGAACCCTTTCCTAATAGGTTCGAACCCTTTGAAGGGCTCCTAAATTTTATAATAAGAATTAATGACAATGTCCTGAAAAGGTAGGGTAATACATTTTCAGATACTTAGCATTAATATTCTCATGTACCAGCTTTCCTTCTTGATTTATGATAATAAAAGCTCCATTTCCAATCACTTTATGAATGATGAAAGGACCTTCCCAATTGGGAGACCACTTCCCTAGTTGATCCACCTTCTTATAGGTCGGCAGAATCGTCTTCCAGACCAAATCCCCTTCTGCAAAAACCTTAGGGAATACTCTTTTTCCATAGTACTCGCCCTAATCTCACTATGTCTAACCACTTGATCCAAAGCGTTTAATCGATCTGTATCCACTTCTTCCAATTGTTGCCACATCCTTTGTGCATACGCCTCGTCAATACACGCTGTTGTATTAGTCACTCTGGGTGAAGGCACAACAAATTCCGCAGGTAAAACAGCATCTTGCCCAAACGTTAATTGGTATGGGGAAAATCCAGTAGAAGTATTTCTACTATTTCGGTGGGCCCACAATGCCTGAGACAACAATGTATGCCATTTCCTTGGATTTTCTTCTACCATTTTCCGGATGATGCCAATAACGATTTTATTTGCCGCTTCGGCCAACCCATTCGCCTGTGGGTAATATGGTGAAGAGTGATGCAATTTGATGTTAAATTCGGCCAAAAACTCAACGAATTTTTCCCCAGTAAACATCAACCCTTGATCGGTTGTAAGCGTGTGCGGAATCCCAAACCGATGCACGATGTAATTAAGCACGAACTCGATCACCTCTTTCTGCGTCGCATTCTTCAAAGGAACTGCCTCTACCCATTTGGTGAAGTAGTCAGTCGCTACCAGAATGAATGAATGTTGCTTCGATGATGTCGGATGAATTTTCCCAATTACATCCAATGCCCAGGCTTTGAATAGCCACGGCTTAACCATCGTTTTCAGTTCTACTGTTGGCAGATGATTTAATGGACCATGACTCTGGCATTCCTGGCACCCTTTAGCAAATCTGATACAATCATAAAAAATCTTTGGCCAATAAAATCCCATACGATGAATAGCCCATCGCATATTCAATCCCGCTCGGTGAGCCCCGCAAATTCCACCATGAACCTCTTCCATTACTTTAATGGATTCTTTCGGCCCCAAACACCTCAATAAAACTCCTTCAAAGGTTCTTTTATACAGAACCCCTTCAATAAGCTGGAAGCGTAAGGCTTTCAATCGAACGCCCACAGGAGTCACAAAACTTGGTGATTCTAAATACACCATAATTTATGTTCTCCAATCAATCCCAAAATCGATACCCCCGATCATTTGTTGGCGGGCATTTTGAGCCAAATTATCCGCCAACCGATTCTCTGTTCTTGGTACATGCTCGAAAACTACCTCGCAATTTTGTATAACAGATGAAATACCAAATCTCGGTATCGACGCAAATGAGGATAAGTACAAGCGTACCGTTTTAGCACTTGGTTGATGACAAGTTGAGAATCTCCACAAATTAGGACTGATTGTACTCCTTTAGCGATAAACGCTTCCAAATCCAAAATCAGTGCTTCGTATTCCGCAGAGTTATGAGTCATCTCTTCCATTTGAAGCTGCAAACTAATTTTACTGGCTCCTGGTCCTTCTAGTATCACCCCCGCTCCTGACTTTCCTTTTGAATGAGATCCATCAAAAAACATTTTCCAAGGACTGGTGCATATATACGGCACTACTTTGTTTTCCAATGATTCATCGCCTGCAAATTCAACCAACAAGTCGGCTACAACCTGCCCTTTTACTGCTTTGATAGGTCGGTGTCGCAACGCGAAAGGAGCCAACTTGATGGCCCATTTCATTAATCTTCCCTGCATGGTTGGTCTGTGCAGAATTAATCTGATCAGATCCATTTTAGAAACCACCTCGGTTTCTCTTGGCATAATGTAATGCTCTAGCCGAGTACACGCAAAAACTAAAGAATAGCACATTTTTTCGGGCATAGTATAATTCAACTCTGGTCCTGCCAAAGTTTTGCTTAAATAATAAATGACCCTTTCCTTACCATCCTCCCATTCTTGCACCAACAGACTACTCACAACATCAAAGCTGTTCGCAACATACAGCCGAAGGGGTCAATCTCCTCTTGGGGGAACCGACACAGGTGGTTTAATTAATGTCTACTTGATTTCTTCTAATGCCTTTTGCTGCTCCTGACCCCAAGAAAAATCGGCCGCCTTATTCCGTAGCAACTTTGTGATAGGTTTTAACTTCCCTGCAGTATTTGATATAAAACGCCTTAGGTAATTTACCTTTCCCAACAAACTTTGCACTTTTTTGACCGACCGAGGTGGCCGCATTGTCAGAACAGCCTTGGCTTTGTTTGCATCAATATCTATCCCTTTTTCATGCACTAATAACCCCAAGAAATTCCCTGCCGAAACTCCAAAGGCACATTTTGTCGGGTTCATTTTCAGGTTGTACTGCTTCATCCGTATAAAAGCATTTTTTAAATCAACCAGATGTGTGTCAAAGTCAGTAGACTTAATGATCACATCATCAATGTATACCTCCATTGACTGCCCGATCAGATCATGAAAGATGGTATTCATTGCCCGTTGGTAGGTTGCTCCAACATTCTTTAAACCGAATGGCATAACCGTCCACTTGTAGATTCCCAAAGCTCCTGGGCTTCTGAACGCGGTTTTGGGTATATGTTCTTCTGCTAATGAAATTTGATTATACCCTGCATATCCATCCATCAAACTTAAAATTTGATGCCCTGCTGCCAAGTCGATCAACATGTCTGCTATGGGCATGACATACTCATCTTTTGGAGTGGCGAGATTGAGATCTCTGAAATCAATGCAGATTCGAATCTTTCCATTTTTCTTGGTTACCGGAACAATATTGTCTAACCATGGTCGAATGAATCCCACCTTCAACAGTTTCTCAATTTCTTCTTTGATCTGGGGCATCAATTCTGGACTCACTCTCCTTTGTGGTTGCTTATACGGCTTAAACCCTTTCTTAATAGGCAACCTATGTTCTATCAAATCGCGCGCCAATTCGGGCATCTCGGAGTAATCCCATGCTAGACACTCCATATGGTCCCGAATTAGTGATACAATTTGCTCATGTTGGTTTTTTGACAACAAACCACTTACCTTGACCATCTTGGGTAACTATTCGGTTCCTACATTATACTCAATGGGAGGATCCTGAGTCGATAAGGAAGGTTCTATCTTTTCTAAGAGATCAGGCCAGCGAAAACCTTCTCCCTCGTCAACATTATTGTTGGAACCTTCACTATTATGTAACCTAACCATTAATTGGTTTAAATAAGACTGCCTAATCAGCTTATCACATTTATTTATTTCTTCCATAATTAAACTTAAATAAAATAAAAAGTTTTTGGCTAACGACAGAGCCATAAAGCGGAAAAATGTTTCTAATGAAACACATAACCCTGCGCAGTGAGCATACAGCCCTTCCAGGGATATTTGTCTACCACAGTTGTCCGCGAAATTGGCGGTACGTACTCTGAATAAAGCACCGACTCTTCCACACCTTCTGTGGAGCCGAACGGATTGGTGCTAGCTTCCATAGTGAATACTTGATCTCCTTCCCAAAACATGATCTGTTGATGGAGAGAAGAAGGCACGCATTTGGAAGCGTGAATCCAATCTCGCCCCAACAAGACCGAATAAGTAGTGTTGGCAGTTACCACGAAGAAGACTGTTGAAATCACCTTTGGTCCGACTTCAATAGGTGCCACCATCATCCCTTCTGGTTTGGTTGGTTTTCCTGTGAAGCTTGTCATCTCGATATCCACTGGAGCTAGGTCGCTAATCCCTTTGCCTAATTTCCTCAGAGTTTTAAGAGGCATGACGTTGAAGACAGCCCCATTATCAATAAAAACCTTGTTAATCGGCTTACCACATATGTGAGCGTTAACATACAATGGTTTTAAGTGCGAGATTGCTCCTTCTGGTATAGGTGGAAAAACCATAGGTGGGGGTCTGCCAGTCATCGCCGCCCACTCTGGTTTTTCTTCTTCCTCGAACTTTGCCCAGATGGGCTCTTCTTTTTCCTCGAACCACCGCATATCCGTCATCCTAACTTCGAACCCGGCTTTATCAATTTTCACTATCATGCTGCACAAAACTTTTGTTTCTTCTGGAGCAAATGACCCAAAGATTATCTCAGGACTCTCTTCCTCGGCATTTTCCATCTCAGGATCAATGTTGATCCGTCTGCAGAACTGACACTGAAAGCATTTGGCCTTCTTGATAGGCTTTTCGATCTGCCAGTACTCCTATTGGTCGCTCGAACTTTTCCTTTTGGGTGATAACTCCTTATTCTCCTTCCCTTTGTCCACCCGCTTTCCATGCCGAGCCGCATACCTATACTTAGCATTACGAATTTGCGTACGATTCATACCTAGAAATCGGGGATCTATGTCTATTGGCAGAGGCTTTCTGTTTTGGCTCCATTTGTCATGGACTGGCTGTGGTTTGCGCGTTGGTCGATCTTGTACCACAACTTTATCCTTCAATTCCACTTCGAAGGACCTATCTTCTTTATCCCATTTCTCCGCCACTCTGGTTTCACAAACTTTGAACTTTTCTTCCTGATTGTGTTCCCGCTCTTTGGGCTTGCGCTCCTTTCGCTTGGTATTTTCCTCATCATCACTTTGCGTGTCTTGTGAAGAACGCAGGGAGATCACACCAGTAGTCACTTTTGGGAACGGCTGGTGCTCCACTCCCATTGTTACATACTTGAATCTCCCTGCTTTGATAGTGTTGATGTATTTTTTCAACAAACAAAAAGTAAAATTCAAAGATATGGAAAATATCCTTAAACTTGATTAATTAGCGTCTGAGATTACGAATCTCTAAACACTGCACGGTACATAAAGAAATTAACTGGAAATTAAAATGCTGAAAATTTAAAGTGGTGATCCCCGAATCTGACTTTGCTTTGTTGAAGTTGATTGAAGATAATTTCTCCATAAAAATCCCAATCCTTAAATATCCCTTGAGAAACAGTATTGAAAACCGTCGCCCGAACGATTACAACGTCTCTTTTTCAACTATCTGCTAACCCTTTCTCCTGTTGACACGTGCCCTTAACCGACCAAAGGATCATTAACTTACTCTCAACAGTATCTGCCTCTTTGGACCGACTGCAAACCTTCCGCCCTTTTGGCCCGAACACAACTCTTCCACCTTATTGGTCCGACTACCAACCTCCCGACTTGTAGACCACCCGACTTGTTTGGTCCAGTCGCAGACCTCCCGACCTAAAGACCATCCGACTTACTGGTCCAGTCGCAGACCTCCCGACCTAAAGACCATCCGACTTACTGGTCCGGCCGTAGACCTCCCAACTTAAAGACCATCCGACTTACTGGTCCAGCCGCAGACCTCCCGACTTAAAGACCATCCGACTTATTGGTCCAGCCGTAGACCTCCCGACCTGAGGACCTTCCGACCTGCGGACCTCCCGTCCTGAGGACCTTCCGACCTGCGGACTTTCCGTCCTGAGGACTTTCCGACCTATGGACTTCCCGACCTGAGGACCTTCCGACCTTCCGACCCGCTATTTCCTTAGAAATATATTTATTTTACCTGAGTTTCCCGCGGTACCCCTCAACCAATTCGATCAACTTGATTGCTAGGCCCATTTTTCTCTTTACCTTGGCCTTTTAACCTAATTCTGGCACCCTGAGGTTTGTACCTTTCTTCTTCCAACAGCCCCTATTGGCCCCAACCTCATGGATGTGGTCGTGATCGCGCATCTGCCAATCGTTGGGGAAGACCCTGTAATGGGTGCCCTAGATGGGCAAGAGCCCAACTCAGACCACTTGGGTTGGTCTCTGACAGATGTGAAAGAATGGGGCTGGACTAAATTTCTAATCGACCAACAAGGAGCAGATGGGACCCCTGTAACCGACCGAGAACACACAACCTTCCTGCTTTTTTGGCTTTGTAAGTATATAGTAGTTTCCCCTTCGAAATGTGTCCTCCCTTCTCATCTTGATCTTGCTATACACGTAGCCTCGGGTCGGTTCTTTTCATTAGGCACCATTTTCCTTGCCAATCTCTTTGTAGGGCTATCCAGGGTCAGTGCCCGCCTTACTGATAAAGATGGTAAAAAATTAGACACTGCTGCGTCGGGTCCTTTTTGGTTCCTGGAACTATGGTTCCGTCTCTGTTTTTCCAACGCCTTCCAACTCGGCCATCCTCCCATTGCCCCCACCCTCGAGAAGTCTCTAGGAGTAGCCCTGAACCGACTTTGTTTAGGCCGTAATAACCTCCAAGCGTCTGATCCGATCATAACTGCCATCCTTACTGATAATCGAAATGATAGCAATTTTTACCCACACAAAAGGTATATTGGTTATGCATCCGACTTTTTTTGGCCATTCCCTATTCCATCACCTTTGTCTCAACCAAATCCACTTCCACATCCGACTTACCCTTATTCTGGGATGTTGCTCTTAAGCCCAAGTCTTTATTTGCTAGCAAGAAAATCGATAAAAAGGGTCCCAAAATATTTTATACCTTCAACTATCAGCCTCAATTTGTGGCACGTCAATTCGGCTGCCAACAAGGCCTGCCTGGTCCCATTGCTCATCCCCATTTAATAATTCAAAGTCTAGATGGGAGAGCTATTCCTGATGCAATCGCCCCATACATATCCCAACTCGCAAATTACATTACTTCCAACTCTTACATTCCTTACAAATCTTCTCCAACCTCAGTTGAATCTTTTCACAAGTGATGGTCGGTTACTTGGGCCTTGATTGCTCCTGACAAGGATCGCCTGCTGGACATCCTTCTTCCCCCACCTGCAATAACATTAGGAGCGACCCCTCTGACCAACACCCGAAGGAACTTGATTACTCAAGGCACTGAGTCGGGTACTCCACAGAGGAAGAAAAGAGCTTCTCAGACTCAAACTATTCCTCCCTCTGAGGACAATCAACAACCATCCTTAACAAAACGTCCATCAGGTCGGCCCCCTATGAGGACCCGACCCCGTCTAGGTATAATTTCATACTCTCAATTTAACTTGATCCTTTCCTTACCATGGTATTAATCCTTATTTTTATACTCAGGTGTGGCTTCGGCTCGAGCGACCGCCCAACTTGCTTCTAGACCAACTAAAACAGCGAAGCTACCAACCGACCAGCTACCAGAACCTGAGCCCCCGACCAAGCGCCGGGCCTCGAATAAAATACCTTCATCCTCCGAGCAAGCGACAACAAGGGTCTCATCTCCTAGTGAGGCGACCGTTTCAGAGATGGGAAGATTACCTTATGTTGCTTCAAACCCATGTCTGCCTACTATGGCACCGTTGGCCACAGCCATGTCTGTTTCTGCTGCCTCTGCTGCAACCGCCCCAGACACATCAAACCAAAGAGCAGCCGACTTGGCGGTTGCCGACCCAGGGGCAGCCAACTTGGAGGTTGCCGACCCAGGAGCAACCGACTTGGAGGTTGCCGACCCAGGGGCATCCGACTTGGAGGTTGCCGACCCAGAGGCAGCCGACCCTCTACCAGCGGCGGACAGACAGGACGAAGAACCTGCACCTGCTCAACCAAGGGGACTCTTACCGGAGTTACAAGAGATTCCCTCTTCTGAATCAGAGACCTCTGTCAATCTGGTAAACCCTTGAGATCCCTTCTTCCAAAGTATCAAAATACAAGCTAGTATTAACACGACCTTTGACATACTATATTTCCACCATTCAGGGACCCAGATCCATACCTCAACATCCACTCGAAGCAGCCGACGAATCAGCTATCGAGGTACCAGCCACCCAACCCTCCAGACTTATGGCTATTTTGGCACCTTCCACGACCACCATCCGTCCAGAGGTACATACAATCTTTCACAATTGATTCTTAACATTTATTCTTCATTCAGTCTGAGATAAACAATTTTCATTTCAGGGATATTCTGATCAAGCCCTCTTGTCGGCTGTCCCCATTCCGACGGACGTCCGAGCTGTAATTGCAGAGGCTGTTGACCAATCTTTCCCCGACTTGGGGTCAGGCTTGCTTGACAGCCTTCTCCAAGCCATTGGTGGTCTTTTG